TGTCATCCACATACAACAACAATATAATAAAGTTATTCTCATAAAATCTTTTGAAGTATACACATGGATTAGAATAGGTCTTTAGGTATGTTTGACTTTTTATGAATGAGTCAAACTTCATGTACCACTACCTTGGTGCCTGCTTCAATCCATAAAGACTCTTATTCAATTTGCACACCATGTGTTTCTTTCCAGCTACTTCAAATCCTTCTGGCTGCTCCATATAAATCTCCTCTCCCAAATCTCCATGAAGAAATGCAGTTTTCATATCCAACTGCTCCACTTCAAGATCTAGGCTAGCTGCTAAGCTCAAAATTGTTCGAATAGAAGTCATTTTGACAACATGTGAGAAAATTTCGTCAAAATAAATACCTTTCTTCTGTTCGAAGCCTTTAACCACCAATCGAGATTTGTATCTGACCAACTTGCCATTTTCATCTTTCTTGAGTTTAAAGACCCATTTTCATTTGAGTGGTCTTTTACCCTTTGGAAGTTCAACCAGCTTGTACATGCCATTTTTCTGTAGAGATTCCAGCTCTTCTTGCATGGCTTTCATCCACTGATTCTTTTCTGGATGGGACAGTACCTCCTTAAGACTTTCTGACTCCCCGTCATCACTGATGAGGACATACTCTGTGGAAGGGTACCTGCATGACGCTACCCTTGGCCTCTCTGATCTCCTCAGAGGTTGATGTTGTTCTTCTTCCTGAGTGGGGTGCTCCACTTCCTCGACACCTTCATCAAGTTGTTCCCCCTGCTCAATAACCTCACCAGGTTGCTCCCCTGCTCGGCAACCTCGTCGGTCGTACTTTTTGCACCTGTAGGATTGTTAGAAGTAGAAGGAATAGTAATAAGGTTAGGAATTATACCATTCTTCGCCTTTTCTTACATATCAGCAGCAGTTCCAACTTCACTTTCTTGGAAGACTACATGTCTGCTTCTGATAAACTTCTTCTTTACAGGATCCCACAATCTATACTCGAATTCTTCATCTCCATATCCGATAAATATGCAGGGAACAGATTTATCATCCAGCTTTATTCTCTGCTCTTTTGGTACATATGCAAAAGCTCTGCAACCGAACATCTTCAGATGCGAGTAGGACACCTCCTTGTTGGTCCAAACTCTCTCTGGGATGTCAAACGCCAACGGAACTGATGGACTCCTATTGATCAGGTAACAGGCTGTCTGAACTGCTTCACCCCAGAATGACTTAGGCAGTTTAGCCATTCTGAGCATGCTTCTCACCTTCTCCACAATGGTGNNNTCTTCATCTCCATATCCGATAAATATGCAGGGAACAGATTTATCATCCAGCTTTATTCTCTGCTCTTTTGGTACATATGCAAAAGCTCTGCAACCGAACATCTTCAGATGCGAGTAGGACACCTCCTTATTGGTCCAAACTCTCTCTGGGATGTCAAACGCCAACGGAAACTGATGGACTCCTATTGATCAGGTAACAGACTGTCTGAACTACTTCACCCCAGAATGACTTAGGCAGTTTAGCCATTCTGAGCATGTTTCTCACCTTCTCCACAATGGTGCGGTTCATCCTCTCGGCTACGCTATTGTGATGTGGGGTTCCAGGAAATGCCTTTTCATGTCTGATCCCATAACTTGAACAATACTCTTCAAATTCCCTTGAAGTGTACTCATCTCCATTGTCACTTCGGAGACGCTTAGCTTTCGACCCGTCTCCCTTTCTACTAGAGCATGAAACTTCTAAAAAACTTGAAACACCTGATCTTTGGTTTTCAAAATATAAACCCACAATTTTCGTGAAGCATCATCAATAAAAGTAACAAAATATTTGTTACCGCCCATTGATTCAATTTCCATTGGGCCGCAAACATCAGAATATACTAAATCAAGTATATTCAATTTTCTTTCAGACGATGTCTGAAATGAGACTCTATGCTGCTTACCAAATAAACAGTAGTCACAAGGTTTTACCATTGTAACTTTGGCATAAGAAATGAGTGATTTCTTGGCAAGAATATGCAATCCCTTCTCGCTCATATGACCCATTCTTTTGTGCCACAAATCTGCAGAAATCTCATCTTGTGTCGCGTTCAATTCACCTTGGCATATTTCTGCATTTGTCCTGTACAACGTGCCAGGAGTAACTCCCTTTGCAATCACCAATGATCCCTTAGTAAGTCTCCACTTTTGATTTGCAAAATAGTTCTCGTATCCATCTCGGTCTAAAGCAATTCCCGAAATCAAGTTCATCTACAAATCAGGTACATGCTGCACATCCTTTAGAACCAATGTGCATCCGACATTTGTCTTGATACAAATGTCACAAATACCCGTAATCTTTAAGTAACTTGTGTTACCCATTCTCACTGTGCCAAAATCACCTGTTACGTATCTGCAAAAAAGATCTCTTACCGGTGTGGCATGATAAGATGCCACTGTGTCAACCACCCATTCCGACTCTAGACCTGATAGGTGCATGCATTCCTCTTCCTCATTTATAAAGAGGACAATATTATCATTGTTTTGCACCATGGCGGTTGTGTTGTCGTCATTCTTCTGGCCACTGGTTTCACCTTTGCCCTTCCTTGGATTTGGGCAATCTCTTTTGAAGTGACCTGGTTGATCATAGTTGTAGCAATTTCTGGCTCTTGATTTGGATTTGTTCTTTGACTTCCCACGAGCTCCGGATCTACCATAGTTGCTCGAACTCCTTTGGTAACTCCTGCCTCTACCTTCTGTGATGAGAGCTTGTCCTTGATTTTCAGGCTTATTTCTCATCTTCTCATTGAGTAGAAGAGCTGATGTGGCATCTTTCAACTCAATAGTAGTCTTACCGTGCAGGATGGTTGTTGCCAAATTATCGTACAAAGATGGCAACGAGTTCAATAGCAAGATGACTTTATCTTCTTCCTCGATTTTCACTCCGAGGTTGGCAAGTTGTGTGATTAGTCTGTTAAACACATTTAAATGTGACAAAAAATTTGTACCTTCACCCATGTGTAGGGCGTATAACTGCTTCTTCAGGTATAATTTATTTGTCAGCGTTTTGGACATGTATAGGCTTTCCAACCTTGTCCAAATTCCACGTGCAGTGTCTTCATCAATGATGTTATTTACCACATCATCTAAGTGCAACCTGATTGCACTAGCAGCTCTTTCATCCAAGTCAGCCCAATTCTCAGCTTTCATTGTATCAGGCTTTTTGGCATCAACATCTAGTACCTTGTGTAATCCTTGTTGGATGATCAAATCACTCATCATTCTTTGCCATATTGAGAAACCGTTATCTCCGTTGAACTTTGTTACCTCGTACTTTACTCAGGACATTTTTTTTTTCACCGAGTATAGTACTATCAATAGTGAATAGTATTTCAGTGAACGACCTGAACCTGTGCTCTGATACCAGTTGTTGGGAATAAACCCCCTACAAAAATAATATTTACAGTAATAAAAGCGGAATAAGAACGTAACACCGAGATACGATAATTAACAAGAATAAAAGAGTAACAACGGCACCAAGATTTTTACGTGAAAAATCCTTTTGAATAATGGAAAAAACTACGGCCCTGAGAAGAGCAACTGATATCACTAGAGCAAGGAATTTTATACTTTGTAGGTCCGAGTAAAATACTCAAAAGACCACTGCAACACTCAAAAGAAATAACCCTTTTTTGATATTCCCACCTCACTACAATATCACTCACTCTCTATTTTTCTCACAGACTATTTTCTTATACCCTGTCTGTGAAACCTCACTCTTTCTTTCCAACTCTCAGATATATTTTTCTCTGAGATTGGTGTATAAAAATGAGGGTCGAAGCTCTCCTTTTATAGACAGAGCCTCGCTTACTTCATTTGACATTTCCTTGTGCACGCCTACCGAATTTGACAAATGTAAAAGAGATGATGGCTGTTAACTTTGAAAACAACCAACAAGAAAGAAAAATCTTCCTTAATTAATGGGATGGACCCCACAGTCCGTCATTGTTGTCCTATATGTGTGCTTTGAAGTATAAATTTTTTGTTATTTGTACATATTTTTTCTGAAACACATATAGGATTCGAGCTGAAATATTAAGCTTTACTGATTTTTATGTTTTATATATCGAAGTTTAAGCTTTAATTTAGTACTTAATTTTCACGCACTGTATTGATAACACGTCTCTTGCATTCTACAAAGAAGAATGTCGTACAATTCAGATGCATTTTGATTAGACCAATCATTAATAAGTGAAGTGTCATCTTTGCTTACCTAAATTAAATGTCACAACTTTCATGACAGGAGATAACATTTGATCTATACATGGTAATATATTAAGAATGTGTTTGAGAGTATGAATGGAGGTTTTCTGTGATGATACATACTAATAGAACTGACTGAGTTGCTTCTTTTCTTTTTCCAATCTTTCCCTTATTCCCTGCAATATCACTCTCTTCTCGCCAAGGGCTGCCAATAGAGAACTGATAATAAGTTCATAGTTTTGGCAGTGAAAGTTGTTGCTAGAAACAAAAGAAGGGGCTGGTTTATAATCTTTTGTCTTGTCCAAGGCAGAGATATATTGTAGTATTTATCTACAACTTTTCTACAATTTTCACACATTGTTTTAGGCAAAATACATAAGTAGCCATCTGAACTATACACCAAATCCCTGTTACACACTTTCTGAGGACGGATATCAATTTACACACGCAACCTTTTAAAATTGTGTCTACTACACACTACTTTTGCCAGATGGCACGCGTGTGTTTAACAAAAGACACTGAGCGCGTAAAACCTATGCATTATTTGTCAAAATCCTTATATACGCACACGTGTCCAAATCTTATTTGTTCTCCTTATTTTTCTTAAATTATTAGTTAAAAGAAAAGATAAAGATGTCCAAGCCTTCTTCCCCATTTGGAGCCCCCCTACCGTCTTGGGTATCCAGCGACAACCACAACACTATTTTCTCTCCCACGCCTCCCATCTCCTCCCCCATTCATCTCCTTTAACTAGATCTCGATCATAAATCATAATGTCGGCGGCGACCTCAAGCAACGCCGAGACCTCTGTTGCCAGGTTATTACTTTCACTGTCAGTTCATGGCCGACGAGGTCAGCTTTTCTCCAACGGGGTAAAGCTCTCAGATCTTTCCGACAAGTTGGTGGTTCTTCGTTCAGATCTGGTCTCATTTTGTTAAAATTGCAAACGATGGTGACCTCTATTTTTCGGCCACTGTTACAGTGGCAACACCCATCGGTAAAAATGGTATTTATATAGCAAACAAAACCTAGAAACCAAAAAATGGTAATAAATTTTTAGAGTAAGGAGAAATAGTGGTAAATAAGAACAAAGATGATGAAGAAATTGGGTCTTCATGTAAAGAGAAGAATTGAAGTATGGTGTGGTGCCTCTAGTTCTTTCTGGAAGAGAAAGAGACTATGAAAGAGAAACTGGTCAACAAAAATTTAAGCATTTTTTTATTTAAAAAAATTATTAACACGTGGCATGATGTTATTGGTGCGTGACACTACACATATTCTGAGAAATTGGTCAAGAAAAAAGTAGTATGTAGTAGACACAATTTTAAAAGGTTGCGTGTGTAAATTGATATTTGTCCTCAAAAAGTGCGTAACAGGGATTTGGTGTAAAGTTCATGTGGCTACTTATGTATTTTGCATTATTTTTATCAAGTTAAATACAACTACAATAACATACTCTTCAATACAAATTTTATACAAAATTCATACAATATGTCTTTTGTATATTTTGTATATGATTTATACATAATAAAAATATTTTATACAACTAATTATATATTATACAACTTATCCACAACTTATTTACAATTTTTCTACAATTTTTCTATAATTTTACTACAATTTTGTAAATATAATGTCTATCATGTCTTCTTCTTCTTCTTCTTCTTCTTCTTCTTCTTCTTCTTCTTCTTCTTCTTCTTCTTCTTCTTCTTCTTCTTCTTCTTCTTCTTCTTCTTCGAGTTTCAATATGAAATTTAGCCAAAATCAAGTCTAATCTTCACCAAAACACCCTCAAAATTGAGATATAAACTCCAAACCATATTCTCAATTGTTTGCAACAACACCTAATCCAAACAAATAATGGTTTTTGAAAACCCAAATTCGAATTCAAAGCTTCAAAGCTTTTTAATGGCTGTCAATGGTGGAATTGCTGCTCTCTTTTCCTTTGCTTTACATTACTGAAATTAGGGATTGAGAGATAGAAGGAGACATAGAGAGAAATACCAATTCTTTGTAACAACATCCAATTCAAATAAATAATATTTTTTGAAAACCCAAACTCGAATTCAAAACTTCAAAACTTTTTAATAGTTGTCAATGGTGAAATCGTGGGTGAGTGCAAGATACGTAGGGGAGGGGGCGGAATGTGGAGAGAGAAACGTGGGGGGAGTGAAAAATACGGTAGAGTTATTTTAGGATACTAATTATTATCATTAATTCCCTTAAAATGTACATAAATGGTAATTAAGTATATAAAATGTAATTATAATAAAACTTGAGTAGGGAGGGTAATAAAATTTTCAATAGTGCATATGTATATAAAAATCTTATTTTTTTATCCGTTACCAAAAATATCTCTCAAAAAAGTGTACTACTAAATTGAGATCAATTTACAATGGTATATTTTAAGGTTAAAATTATATTTATTTTTTTGGCATATACCAAAAATATTCTTTACGTCTAATCTAGGACTATAAGTGTATTACAACAACAACAACAACAACAACATACCCAATATTATCCTATACCATGGGGTCTGGGGAAGGTAGTGTGTACGAAAACCGTACCCCTACCTTGTGAGGATAGAGAAGTTATTTTCAATAGACCCTCGGCTCAGGAAAACATAAGTACCACATTAATGAAAATATAGATAAGAAGGGACAGTACCAAAAAACCATATAAAAGTAACATAAAAACAACAAGACAGTAAGGTGATTAGCAATGGAAAAAAATAACGATTAGTCATAAAAATCTACTACCAAGAGAAAGCGAGATTGTGTGTCAATACTACAGTTATGAACACCCTAGACTACCTACTCTACTACCCTAATCATTGACCTTCATACCTTCCTATCAAAGGTCATGCCTTCGGTCAGGTGAAGTTACGTCATGTTTTGGCTAATTACCTCTCCCCACCTTTCTTTGGCCTACCTCTACCTCTCCGTAGGCCTTCCAATATCAACCTCTGACACCTCCTCACCAAGGCATCTACGCTCCTCCTCCTCACATGACCAAACCACCTAAGTCGCACTTCTCACATCTTGTACTCAATAGGGGCCACACCCACCTTGTCGCAAATAACCTCATTTCTGATCCTATCTAACCTGGTGTGCCCGCACATCCACATCAACATCCTCATCTTTGCTACCTTTATCTTCTGGACATGAGCGATCTTGACTGGCCAACATTCAGCTCAATACAACATCGTTGGTCCGACCACCACTCTGTAGAACTTACCTTTAATTTTCGATAGCACCTTCTTGTCACACAAAATACCGGAAATGAGTCTCCATTTTATCCATCCCGCCCCAATACGACGCATGACATCTTCATCAATCTCCTCACCCCCTGAATAATAGACCCAAGGTACTTAAAACTTCCTATGCTAGGGATGACTTGCGAGTCCACCTTTCCATCCCATATAAGAGTAAATTCTTAAGGTAAAATAAAAGATTAAAAGTTAAATAATTTCTAGATATACAAATATGTTATTTTGAAGTATTAAAAAGAAGAAAGTGTCCATAGAGGACGTGATATTGTTTCACGGTAGCGGGACCATGTACTTTGAAAAAGAAATAAAACGAAAAGCATGACTGTGGAGGGTGGAGTAAAGCTCATGAAATAAGAGCCATGAATAGATCCAATCCCCTGGAAACGACACCGTTTTGAGCTCTCTTCGTCACATCAACATTTCTCCAAATTCATCCATGGAGAAACACATGGAGAGCTTCCTGAACAATCTCTCCTTCACATCCATCACAATCGCCACACTAACACTTCTCCTCCTTTACCTTCAAAACCCCAAAACCTGCATCAATAATCCCCATCAACTCCCCAATCCTTTAAAACCAAACCAAAAATTCCCCAAATCCACATGCAATTTAACCCACCGGGCTTTCACCACTGTAAACAAACACAATCGCCGTATATGGGCCACCAAATCCTGGATCCGAACAGTCCAATCCTTCACAATCCAATTCCAATCCCTCCAGGCCCAAAATCTCTTCTCCAACAATTCCCGGGTCTTAGTCGTCTCAGCCGGGGCGGGTCATTCCGTTATGGCCCTGAATAAGATAGGTGTTAACGATGTCAACGGTGTCGAGCTCGTGGAATCGCACCCGCTTGTGGGCCGTGCGGATCCACACAGTCTGCCATTTTTTGATGACGTGTTTGATTTTGGGTTCAGCCCGTTTCTGGAACGGGCCTTGTTCCCGGCCCGATACGTGGGGGAAATGGAGAGAACGGTGAAAGGTGGCGGCGCGTGTGTAGTAGCTGTGGAAGAGTGTGGCGGTGAAGAGGTGGAAGAGGTGGAGAAATTGTTCAGAAAGTCGAAGTTGGTCGAGGTGAATAATGTGACTCTTGGTGGAGAAAAAAGGACGAGCATTGTAATGAAAGTTGTAAAGTGACGGAATTTATTGCTGCACGAATACTCTAAATATTCATTCTTTGTTCAATTCGGTTGCTATTGATTTTCTCTCTAAAACCGCTGAATTTTCTGCTTGTATACGTTGATGTGTAAAAATTCTTTTGTTAATGAATGAAGTATAACTTAAATCTATAACAATATAATCTAAAGGTTGTTTGGCTAAACTTATAAGCTGGTCAAATTGGCTTATAAGTATATTTTGGCTAATTTATGCGTTTGGTAAACACCCAAAGCACTTATAAGTTAAAATCAATCATAAGTTAAAGTTGGACATCCCCAATTTATGACTTTTTAGCTGATAAGCAGAGTGCTAATTTATGACTTTTAATTTGACCAATACTTTTACTAATTTATCCTTAATAATATTTTCTAATTTACAAAATACTTTTCTCAAAATAAATTTATTAATTTTCTATTCATTCCATATTCGTTATTAATTCTTTTTTTTTTACAAAGAAATTTTTTAATTTATAATCTTTTGAAAAAAATTCAAGGGTATTTTGGTTATTTTAACAAAAGAATAGCTTATCAACACTTTTTAATCAAACACATTAACTGCTTATTATCAGTTTCAACACTTCTATCCAAATACGTAAATGCTTATTTTAAAAATTAATTTCAGAACTTAAAAAACTTTTCAGCACTTCAAGCTTATTAGCTATTTACAATCCGCTAATCTAAACGGGCTCTTACTCCGGCAATTCTAATTTACTATTTCTTGAAAGAAAATACTACTCATATATTATAATTTAAAGTTTGTTCTGAATAATAAGCTAACAAAAGAGCCTTTGATTTTCTCTAGTCTCACCTCAAAAAATTGAAACCTGCCCAAAAAGCACACAGTATATCAAAAGACAATTAAGCTTGGTCGGGTGAGTTGTGAATATTAACTAACTGCCACATGTTAGCAATATCTCCAGTTTTCCTTTTTTTTTTCACTAAAAGGGGAAAGGTAGTTGATACTCACGATCAGAGGCAGACCTATTTAATACTCCCTCCGTTTCAATTTATGTGAATCTATTTGACTGAGCACTGAGTTTAAGAAAAAAGAGAAGACTTTTGAACTTGTGGTGTAAAATGAGACACATATATTTTGTGTGGCTATAAATCATTGCATAAAGGTAAATTATTTCCAAATAAGGAAAGGGGTCATTCTTTTTGGCACAGACCAAAAAGGAAATAGGTTCTAAATATTACCATTTGACAAAAATCTTGTATACTTGTATATATATCTTGAATATGAGTATATAAATAACTTGGTACTCTAAATATTAAAGACCTAGGGGGCATCAACTGAGCAGAATAGTGATGCCCCTATTGCGTTAAAATTCTGAATCCGCCTCTGCTTACGACACAACCACCAAGCAACAGAAGTAAAAAAAAAAAAAAAAGTAATTATGAGACTATTCCACTACTTCCTTTCACTTGCAAATTGCAAAGTCGATCTATACAGTACTTGTAGTCCGCGAGGTTGCTTTCATTGGCATTTATGGCTATAACTTTATCTCAATAGAGTGCAAAGAAAATTGCTCTGAGATAACGTAAATAGATTAACAAGATTGAAGTACTGAGATAAGAGGAGTTTATTGCTTTCAAGGACCTCAGTTGATTTACAATCGTTAATATACAAAGTGCAAAGTCTGGAAACAAGTACTGCTGGATTTTACATATTATTATAAGATGAAAATCCTATCCTTGAGAGCAAACTGCAGTTTGAAAGCCTATCCCATACACCTTCAACAAGTTGGATATTTGCCCTGTTCAAACCAAAAACAAATCAGGAAAGAACACAGAGGCGTGACGAAAATGAAAAGAACCACACATGGTACCCTGGTAGATATAAACGACTAGAAGGTAATGCATGACAAGTACAGCAAGATATCAGTAAGCAAAATAACTTGAATATCAAGCAACAATTATTCATACTAACTTTGCAAATTTGTACAGGGAGATAAAAAGTTATCATAAAATTACAAAAAATACATCATATTGACTTCGAAATAGCAGTTGAAAGCTTCATAAACCTACACTTTTTTCAAGTATCTTCTTGGGTTCTGTCCTAGGTGTCATAACGAAAAATGTAGATTGAAGTGATTTATGCCACCACTGAATTTGTAGTATCTTCCCGTTTACATGTCAAGAAACTTAATGAATTGCATATACACAGATACAGTACCTTTTTTCTTCCAAAAGAGAAAAAGTATACTTAACATTCTGTGATGAGAAAGCTTATATCAGCAGATCATGTGTTTCCAGTAGAAACAATGGTTGTTTTGTTTTTCTACTTCTGAGAGAATTTTATTTATATGCGCTGACAGTTGAAGTTTGTTTTCATTTATCGAGTGAGTACCAGCATAAATTTTCTTGAAAAAACATCACTATGCGGGTTCCAACATCCCAATCTCAAAGAAGACAGATGGTCTTTTACAATTCCAATTGCACTTCCATTCATCACACATCAGTTATTGACTTACAAAATACTATTCAACAGTGTACCTTTGTGTATATACTCAGTCGAGCTCTCAGTTTTTGTACTTCATGGTTTCCTTCTCAAACCCAATTGTAGGGAACTGCTTTGCATACTCCTCCACACCATGGCGGAGTTTTGCAATCTCCGACTGGATGGAAGCACTAGACTGTAGTGTTGTCACAAAGTCTTTCAACTTTGTTCCTGGAACATAACAAGTGAACATTACAACATAAGGAAAGTGATGCAAGCAACGGAGGTAACAGAATCTAAAGGGAATCATCCTGTCAAGAACAAGAAAAATGAAGTGTGTATTCCTCAATAACTTGAAAGAAATGGCTGGTTCTTTGAGATTAATAAATGCGTAAAAAGTTAGATGAAAGTCTGTGGACTAAGATCGTTTGCATTACAGGTATTCAGTAACATTTGGAGGCTTACTCACCTTGAGCTTCACCCTTTATTTTCACTGCTATCTTCACAGCAGCATCAAAGAATTCAGCAACTTTCACAAAATCTTCCTCAATAAATCCCCTTGATGTGAGTGCAGGAGTCCCTGAACATACAAAATTGCATAAATTTTGTTTGAGAAGAATAATCAAATGGGAAAAAGATCTCAAAGGGCAAAATATGTACCCATTCTGATGCCACCAGGGACCATGGCAGATACATCTCCAGGAACAGTGTTCTTATTGGCTGCAATATGTACCGCTTCCAAAACTTTTTCAACCCTAGAACCATCAATACCCTGTAAAACCACAAGTCAGAAATTTGTGGTGACTTCAATCTTTCACAATAAAGCATAACAGGCATTACATGCAGTAAACTCATTCACTAATACCTCATCTAGTTAAAAAAAAGGGTGCTCGGTGTAACAAGTCCTTTTGCTGAATTTGTTAGGTTTACCACAAAGCATCAATCAAATTTTAAGTTTTTATGTTACCTTGTTTTTCAAGTTCACCAAGACCAAGTGATTCTCTGTTCCACCAGAAACAAGTTCATAACCCATTCCCGCTAAAGCCTGCAGGTTTGGAAATGTGCACAGCAATGAAGGAAATCAGCATTGCATAGATTACAACTGAAATATAAACTACGTGGATGAAAATAAACGAATGGATTAATAAAGTAATGCTTGAATTGGAAATTACATAATTCAATTCATCTTACCTGGGCAAATTTTGAGCAGTTGCTAAGGCATTGCTCTTGGTAAGCTTTGTATTCTGGAGTCATTGCCTGCATTTCCGTTCTTTGTGAGCGCTTATACTCAAAAGTAGATATTAGGAATAGGAGGTAATGAATGGAGAAAGTACTGAAATCAGATAAGGTGTAATTTGGATTTATATGTTTCTCAATATCATTTGCTGAAAAACATCCAGATCAAAATAATTCAGTTCTTGATTCCCAAAAGGCTTATTTCATCAATCATCAGCTAAAGCACATGGTCTAGTATTTGCATGAAGTGAAATTAAACTTAAACCAGTTTCATTGCAATTGTCAAAATTTAACAGTGAATGCTGTTGAAAAGATATGAAACCTGTTTCAAAGCAACTGCCAAGCCAGTAATTGTATGATTGTGAGGACCACCTTGAAGTCCAGGGAAGACTGCCTGGTTAATTTTATCTTCATAGTCGTACAACACCTTCATAAAAGCCCAAAATATTGTTCAATTACATCAGATACTGGGTGATACGTCTCTTAAATTACAGGTCTAAAGAGATGACTGGATGTAATATTGAATTCTGATATCCAAATACGAACCTCCTTTCCTTGCTTATTAACCTCCTTCACACCCTTCCGGAAGAAAATCATGGCACCACGAGGCCCGCGAAGGGATTTGTGGGTTGTGGTAGTCACAACATCTGCATAATCAAATGGTGATGGGATGACTCCAGCTGCAACTAACCCACTAATATGAGCCATATCTGCCAACATGATAGCCTTCTGTTTGTCACAAACCTGAAAAATACACAGGAGATAGGAGTTTAGTTCCATAAACAAAAACATTTAAATTGCTCTAAATAACTACCACATAATAATCTGGTTAAGTTTACCTTTCGGATACGTGCATAGTCATAAAGACGTGCATAAGCACTAGCACCAGCGACAATTAACTTTGGCCTAAAGAGTGTGGCACTTTTCTCAAGCTGCAAAAAGAAATCACAAGTCACAGGAAAGGGTCAGAAGGAGAGGCATCAGTTATTGCAAATTCAATTTCCCAAGTATGAACAGAAGTAGATGGCTTGTAAATCTTACACTAAACATTCACATCTCTCTTGAATACTACTTACTAGTATAACTAGACGAAAAATCTATTAAATAAATAAGAATCTGAAAAATGTGATCCACCTAAAATCATTTAGGATATTAAATTGTTATGGACTCTAAAGGTGGGTCAATGCAAGACAAACTGCAATAGACATTGCATATATGAGAAGTGTAAAAGGCTCAGTTTCAGTTTCAATTTTCAGAAAGATATAATCAGTGAAGTATTGTCCACCTCTCCACACTCCTCCTAAGGGAATTTTGCTCCCACAGGAAAAAGGAATAAAAAAGAACATATGTAGTGTATATTTGATCAAGGGAGAGGCTACAAATGGGAAAAAAGGGTAACAAGAGAGCAGAAAAGTACCTGGTCATAGTCAATGTAGCCAGTGCTCTCATTCAGTCTGTATGGCATGGTCTCAAAAAATATAGAGACGGCAGATATCTTCTTCGTATCAGTCTGTAATATATAAACATAACATAAGACAAATCATACATAACATTATTATATTTAACTATTGAATGGCTGAGTTAAAAAATAGAGATTCTTAAGTTTTGGCGAACATATAAGCTGACTCCAACTCCAGCTACATATAGTTGGTACATGCACACAACTTTGAGTCGTTTCACACTTGCTTTCTTAAATTTGACTAGTTGAAGTCGTAGATTTCGGAACAGATGCACACCAAAAGTAAATCAACGAATCTACTAATCAATCACAGAAATTCCAGAAATTCTATCACTCTTCAGAACTTTCAGATTTATTTGCATGATCTGAAAGCAGAACTTAATGTCTTTTAAGTGATTAGGTGTCAATCAAATTAAGTATTAAAGAAGACAGCAGAATACAGACCAACCTGATAGAAAATGCATGCAGAAATTCGTAGCATTTTCATACCAGTAAACTCTTAGTACAAAGTTGTATATAAGATAATGCCTATGGTGCATGGCCTGGAACCTATTGAAGTTGTGCATCCACTCGAAAGCTAAAGCAGAAGAAAAGGAAGAAAAAGAAGTAATATAACCTAATGTATTTAAAGGAATCCCAGAAAATCATTAATCATTCAGGAAATAGTGAGTATTCACACCACAACCACTGTGCAGGCTTCCTATGTGCTTGCATTTTTTAACCTGTGGTATTGGTTCTTGGAAGCCAGGTATGAATACATAGAAGGAGAAACGATAGAACATAGAAGCACCTGATATCC